TGGCCCCCACAGGAGGCTGCACTGCAGGGGCAGATGGGCTGGTCCCTGCTGCCCATACTCCTCATCTCTGTGGCCTGCCCCCAGCCATAGGGGACAAGCCATGGGGCGGGATGTTGGCCTAGAGGCTGCGTGTGCTGGCACAGTGAGGATATGGAGTACAACAACCTGATAAAGTGGGGTGTGTCCCTTCCAGAAGGGAGAGTGGTTATTTAGCCCAAGATTGCCTCTCTCCAACCATGCAGGTGCTCCTGGGACTGCTACATAATCTAGTTTAGAGTTGATTCCTGTTTTACCTTCCCCATAGGATCTCTCTTTGTTGTAGCTGCAGAAATAATTATGTTTAGAAGAACGTTCTTCACCACAGTAGGAAGTCCTGGCCTCCTCCGTTTCATCTGGTGGCAGCTTTCCAAGTGTTTCCCTGCCCATCGGTACAGGCCACCGATGAAGGCTGCTCGCAGCCTGCATCCATGCCCAGCCATCCGCGGCTCCCCCGAGTCCTTTGCCTTGCTCCTCCAGTCCCCGCTTGGGAAGCGAGGTCTTCCGATATAGTGTCTGCCAGTACTGCGTCCAGTCCTTTCTAAGCCAGGGTACAGTAATTAGGGGATTTTCACCCTTCTGGTAGGGGTAGGGAAGGCTCGAGCGAGCTGAGCATTGGCACTTCCCAAGAACATTGTTTTATGCCACGCAACAAAATGTGTAAACTTTTAAGCTGAAGAGAATGTTTTGGCAGCTGATAGATCCGTTTTCCCAGCCTACCGGAGGGTGGTTCTCTCTCAGACCTCCTGCTTCTTTAAATGTCTCTTCCACTTCTCGTTTCACACTTTCTCCTTTCCTTTGTCTGATATTCTCCCTTAACTATTTTTCAGCTGCTCTTACTCCCAGCCTGAATTCTTAAGGAACCTGCAGAGCACTAACCCGAGGGATTTGAGGATCTGATGATAAAACAAAACATCCTCAAGGGTGTGTTGTCTGTCCCACTTTTTTTCCTGTGCAGCAGCTCCTCTGTGTTTTGCTATCCCAGACTTCTAGGTTTGATTATAGCAGTTCTGAAATTGCTAGTTCGCTGCCTCCTTAAATCCTTTAGAAGAGTAGGTGCTGCATGCTGCTCAATGCAGACTCCAGTCCTGGTTTTCATGAGGAAGTGCACACCAGTACCACACGTAGACTTTTTTAAAATGCTCTCTTCCTCCTCTGTGGAAATTCATATGTAGCTTAGATGATTAGATTGAAATATACCCTGCTGGTGTGGTCTTAAGGTTAGCAGGTGCTCTGGAGACCACCAAGGTACGCAAAAATCCAGTTTCAGACAGGGGAGCTTTCAGAGAGGTCTCTGAGAGTCTCAGGATTAGAGCTGCAATCCATGGCGCTTCCAGCAAGCGCTGGGTAGGGCCCTGGCTTTGCTGGGGAGGTTGGCACTGCCTGAGACTGAGTCACACTTAGCCTGGCACTTCCCAGGTGTGGACAGTGAGGACCTTGTGTGTAGGCACTGTGCAAAAAATGTGGGTTTTTTCTGCTCGTTTGCCTTTTGATTTTACTGTCAAGACTGCAGCCACTGAACTTGCTGTGGTTGCACCTAACGTCCAGTAATGATCTCACTAGTGTTGCTATGATCTCTCGATGCGCTCCGCTGTACTTACCTGCCCTTCCTGCGTCTCCACCCAAATGTTAAGTTTGTCCAAGCTGAAGATGGTTGGTGCCTGTGTGACCTTTTAAGTTAGTATTTCCCAAACTGGTTGGCCTAATGCTCTGCTCCCAAGGGAATTCTACCGCCTGCCTGCCTTTGCCCCTCAGTTGTAACCAGAGTGTTCTGACAGAGCAAACAGAAGAATTCAAGTTACTCCTTTTCGTGCCAGTTCTCTCCTGTGTGCCTCTGGCACATATCGTGCAGTGCAGGTGACACACCTTAGTGTGGGGGAAATGGCTCCAAATCATTTTCAGAGTACAGGCTGCTGTCTCTCACCCTGTGACCATGTCTGCCTTATTTGTCCCTTGCATTATGTTGCACCAAAATGACTTGCCCAGAAGATCTTGCATTGTCAACAAACCAAAGCAGGCCGTACCGCCAGCTAGTCCTGTTGCAATATACTCTTCCCCAAACACGTGAACGTTGCTTTGTCATCCGTGAGCAGTTCTTTGAGTTTCTTCCTGATAATAGATGGAAATATTAAATGGCACAAGGTCAGGACTGGAGTTCTGCAGAATCCTACTGCAAGTGTTCCTAGAGGGTGGCGAGGAGATGTTTCTGTGGTCCAAAGAGTCTCTGAGCTACAAGAAACCAGTTCTAGTCCATTCACTATGCGCAACATTATACATAGTTATCTAATCAAAATATCATGCGGAGGTACTTTAGGTCAACAAAAAGTCCTCTCAACCATGCTTAAAATTTTGTATAAGAAAAAGCTGTTTGACAAGACTCGTATTTCATAAAAGCACAGTGAAAACTTGGAAAGGAAAAGTAGGGGAAATAATGCCTCTAACATTGCAGTTTTCCCCATCCTTTTGTAGCCTTTCTCTGAGTTTGTCTAGGACTGGTGTCTGTCTGACTGGCTTAGCTAACTTAGTTATCTTTCTTTTTCAGCACTGCCATAACACTTGCTATTTTCCCCTCTGCGCTTCCCTGCTGTTAATTAAAAAGATACTAAAAATCAGGTAGTGCCTCAGAAACCTGGTGACTATCTAACCACGAAGCCTAGTAGTGAAGGGCCTGGAAAAGGGACGGAGGGAGAAGGAACAGTGCCAGATCCTGCGGCAGGTTTTGTCAGTGTCGGGCCAGTTTTGCTGTGATCAGGTGTGGTGTCCTGTGCCTTCCCAGTCCCCAAGGTGGGCACAGTGTTGCTGCCATCAGACCTTGGGTGGGCACCACAGGCAGAGCACAGGGAGACCACCTGGGAGACGGGACAAGGAATGGACTTTCTTGAACCTTCTCGGGCTTTGCGGATGATTGGTTGTCTTTTTATTGTGTTTACATCAATGCCCTGAAGAACCATGGGTTTTTTTTTTTTTACAGTGATTTTAACTAGCTCTGTAACCCTGTTTTTATAAATGACTTCATAAATCTGTTCTGTAAGCAAGCTGTATAGGCCCAGTAGTACTTTAGAGGGGGAGGAAAATGGGAAAAATGGAAACAAACTGCTTATAAAATGTGAAGAAATACTGCTAAAACCTGGCATGCTCTTTGCCAGGACAAAAACTGTGCTGTTGAAAGGCATTAATAAAAACAAAAGAAGAGGGGAGAGGAGGCGCTTGAAAAGGCGATGATGGAAGAGGCTGGAAGATTAGCGGGACAGGCCAAGTGGGGGAAGGCAAGCCCAAGCACATCTGTCACAGGGCAGGAGAGGTCATAGCCACGAGAGCAGGGTTAACTGGTGTACAGAAAGCTATCTGCTCTAACATGCTCCGGGCAGGCGCTCGCTGACCTGGCGCTGCGCTGGGCTCTCCCTCTCGCACCACGGCGATACTCGGGCTCTGTGGCAGGTGGACGTGCCGGAAGAACCGAAACCAAGCCAAGCAGAGAGTTTCTGCCACGTGTTTTACTTGGGTCTTGCTAACCTGTTAGTTTGGCCGCTTCCAAACGCATCCCAGTGGGAGAGGGTTTGAGTTCTGCTTCCTCTGTCTTGTGCTCTTCATTGCTGTTTTTTGCTCTCCTTTGGTGAAGAGCACAGAGACCGTGACACATTTGGCTTTTGTGACTTGTCATTGAATCACACAGGAGCCTGTTTCTGAGGATCAGTATAAGCATTATAAGGCTGTAGCATTATTCCAGTTCGGTTTCCAGCACCGCGTAGACTTCTTTGTCCCCTCCTTCGTGTCTGTGAGGGTCATTGCTGTAGGCCTCTGGGGAACATGAGGAGGCCAGAACTCGAATCACTGGGTTCTGCTTACCTAGCCAGAAAGGGCAACACCAGACAGAGCCACGTCTTCCTTCTGGTGCCTGGTGTCCTCGGTCCCCCTGCATGTTCTGGGACGTGTGGTGCCTCAAGACCAGGGTCACTCTTAAAAACGCCAGTGTGCCTCTAATTGGGTTGGTTTGATGGGGAGCCTGGGACAGTGATCAGAAATAGGTCACCAGCTAAATGAGTCTGTTCCGGCAAAAATTCCCTGCCGGTTCGTTGGGGTGGGACAGAGCTGTGCGACAGGCTAACACCCTTCTCTCTCTTGTTTCACAGCCATGACAGCATAGATAGATGGTGCGAGAGATGGATCGCTTCACTGAGTGTGGGACTCAGACAGATGCTGTGGTGGTGCTGTCTCTGGCACAGGCAGCAGTTCTGGGCTTGGTGTCTGAGAATGAGCTTTTTGGGGCCACCATCAGCCCTGGGGGCTTCTTCCCAGTGCTGGGAAGCGAACTTTCGGACACTGCAACAGTTGAGCCAGAGGAGCCAGAAGGTGACGACAGGCTGGAGCACGAGGGGCAGGCGCAAGGGGAAGCACAGGAAGAGGAAGCGTTAGAGGCAGAGTCGTCATTTGAAAAGCATGCCCGGAGGAGAAAACGGCCTCCCGTGAGGCTGGTGCCCAAAGTCAAGTGTGAAAAGGCTGAGGCAGAAGAAGAGGTAGTGTATGAAGTGTCTATCCCTGGAGAAGACAAAGAGAAACTGCAGCACAGTCACCCACCTGCTTTTGAAGACTCCAGCCACGAGAAGACGGTGCAGAGCAGCACCATGAAGATGATTGACCTCAGCGCCTTCAGCACCTGCGTAGACATGTGCGCCAGGAGCTGGAGCTTGGGAGCTATGAGCATCGCTTTCGGGACCCCGTTCAGGTGGGCATCGCAGAGGCCAGCCTGGGCGGCGCGCCGGAGAGCACTGGCGCAGAGGCCCTGCGGACTGAGTGCGCGTTTGAGGCAAATGCCCCATCTCTGAGCGATGCAGAAGCCCCTGTACCAGAGTCACCAGAGCAGGTGAAGAACGAGCAGGGCTTTATATGGCAGGAGCCTGGGGAGTTTGACACAGATGCAGCTGGAGCCAACAGTGAGCGCAACAAGAAGGCCCAACTGGACCGCCTGGACATCAACGTGCAGATTGATGACTCATACCTGGTGGAGGCGGGAGATCGCCAGAAGCGCTGGCAGTGCCGTATGTGCGAGAAATCCTACACTTCGAAGTACAACCTGGTGACCCACATCCTGGGCCACAACGGCATCAAGCCCCACTCCTGCCCGCACTGCAACAAGCTCTTCAAGCAGCCCAGCCACCTGCAGACACACTTGCTGACCCACCAGGGCACCCGGCCGCACAAGTGCGAGGTGTGCAACAAGGCGTTCACGCAGACCAGCCACCTGAAGAGACACATGCTGCTGCACACCGACATCAAGCCATACAGCTGCCAGTTCTGCGGGAGGGGCTTCGCCTACCCCAGCGAGCTGAAGGCACACGAGGTGAAGCACGAGAACGGCCGTTGCCACGTGTGCGTGGAGTGCGGCCTGGACTTCTCCACGCTCACGCAGCTGAAGCGCCACCTCTCCACGCACCAGGGGCCCACGCTCTACCAGTGCCTAGAGTGCAACAAGTCATTCCACTACCGCAGCCAGCTGCAGAACCACATGCTGAAGCACCAGAACGTCCGGCCCTTTGTCTGCACGGAGTGCGGCATGGAGTTCAGCCAGATCCACCACCTCAAGCAGCACTCGCTCACCCACAAGGTAGGTCCCAGGGCTGAGCGCACCGCAGACTAAGCGGGACGGCAGCTGGGCCCGAGAGGCACTTCCCCTTCCATCGCCCGGTGGGGAAGTGTTGGCCCCAGGCCATGAGTGCTGAGGGAGAGGGAACTACCTCAGTTCCCGTGGTGCTCTGATCATCCCTGTGATGGCCTCTGGGAGAGATGGGTGGTGGGTGGAGGCACCCGGCAGCTGGTGGTTAGCAGTTGTTACAAACCATTAATTTGGAATAAAATGACAGTTACCTTTATTGGCAGGGTTTCTGGGACTGTCCAGCCTCCCCTCTCTCTCTCTGAGGGGCTTTCATCCTTATGGAAGGGAGGCTTTCACACCTTCCTTCCTTACTGCTGGTGCAGGGACAGTGACTTGCTGGACCCTGGCCAGTCTGTTTCTGCAGCCCCTCCCGAGGGGATCTGACTGAGGCGTTGGCTCTTTTTCAGGAGCTCTTTCAAGAGAGAGCGATTGGCCCATTTTAGCCAGAGAGCAAAGCTGGATCTAACAGCCAGATGCACCTCTTGCAGAGTGTGTCCAGCCACGCTCTTTCCAGCAGACTTCCTACATGCTGCAGGGTCTGCCACAGGGCTCAGGCAAGGTTTGCAAATGTGCTGCACTGCAAGGTCTGCTTCAGGAAGGCAGTGCTTTCCAGACAGCTCCTTTCCACTTCCCAGCACAGGGCACTGCTTTGCTGAGCTGCTCCCACTCTCATTCCCAAGGCACAGATTTAATACAGGCTTTTCCAAGTAAAATGCGTTTCTAGCACTATTGAGAGATGGTATCTGTAAGCAAGGCAGGAAATGGGAACCTGAATAGTGGAGTATCATACAGTGGGAATTAAACTCCCAGGGCAGCTAGAAGGGACAGGCCAAGGCTCTGGTAGTGCCTAGCTCTGCATTTGCAGAAAAGGCAGAAAGAAGGAAGCAGGAAACACTTTGGGGAAGGTGCAGACGTGCTGATTAGGGTAAATCTCTCTCTCTCACACACATGCACACACACCCACTACTTACATTCTGTCAGCTGAGAGTTACTGAACTACAGCCTGCCTCGAGGAGCCAGCCCCAGAGACCGTTTAGGAGTGCTGGTCTCGGCTCTGTGAGAAACACCATACCGTGTGCCCCAAGCTCCTGTGACCTGTTCAGAAAGCCCCCTCTGGTTCCATGCCCTAGAGCTGATACCCTCATGGCAGCCCTGGGATCTGGCTCTCACTGATACCCACACTGGGATTCAGGCAGCTCATGCACCCTGCAGGGTATTGCCCTGCCTTCCGCTGCTCTGCCCAGGTGCTCACGCTTTTCTATAACCCTTCCAGGGTGTGAAAGAATTCAAGTGTGAGGTGTGTGGGCGGGAGTTCACCCTGCAGGCCAACATGAAGCGGCACATGCTCATACACACCAGTGTCCGTCCGTACCAGTGTCACATCTGCTTCAAGACATTTGTGCAGAAGCAGACGCTCAAGACCCATATGATTGTGCACTCACCGGTGAAGCCATTCAAATGCAAGGTACCATTGGGTGTCTGTAAATCCTTCTGGGTAATAGCACAGGGGCCCTGGCGCTCTGCTCTTTGCTCCCAGAGAGACACCAGCCTCTCTGGGTTGCGTCCCCAGCCAGACAAATGCTGTTTTGTGATGCCTCCCTCTGTTCACATTGGCAAACAGCTCGCCCTGACTTGCGGTTTCTGCTCAGAGCTACAACAGTAGGGAGGCAGCTGTTCTGGATGGAAGGTATCGACAGAACTGCCAGAGAAGAATAATTAGTACCTGTCTGTCTTTAACCAGTGCTAGACACAAGCTGGATTTCATGAGCACTGGAGCTCACAAAAATACCAGCGCCTCATTCTCAAGGCCTCCCACAAAAGGAGTGGGAGATGAGGAGGGAAGCAGTCCGATTAGTCTTGGAAATTAGTGGGAATAATCAGGGGACCCCAGGAGTGAGGTCTGATTTGAAAAACCCAAGTCCCTGAGGCAGGATGAGCTGTCAAAGGCAACTGCCTGCTGGCTGACCCCCTTTGCTGGGGGGGGGGGGCACAGGAGGAGTGTCATACCATCAGCAGTGGCAGAAAAATAGGCCTTGCTAATCAGAAGAATATTGTTCTTAGGTTTGTGGGAAATCCTTCAACCGCATGTACAACCTGCTGGGCCACATGCACCTGCATGCTGGGAGCAAGCCCTTCAAGTGTCCCTACTGCTCCAGCAAGTTCAACCTGAAGGGCAACCTGAGCCGGCACATGAAGGTCAAACATGGGGTTATGGACATCAGCCTGGACAGCCAAGGTAGGTGCAGGCTGTGCTCAAGTCTATGGCCAGGAGCTGGTACTGACTATTAAAAGCTGGTCACAGCAATCTTATCTGCTTAGGCTGCTGCCTGGAGGCTCCGAGGAACGCCTCAGTCTTGGCAGGATGTTTGCTTTGGTAGCTGGACTGTGCTGCAGCTGCTTTGGCAATCGCCTTTCAGAGAGCTCAGGTCCTGTTATGTCAAGAGCTGCCCTTAGTTGGCTCATTCTGCCAGGAACAAATGGTGACACATCGTTGTCTCCCAAGCCTCTCCTCCTTCCTGTGTTCTGATTGTGAAACCCTGCCCTGCAGATGTTGCGCGTGTGACACCCGTCCTCCCACAGGCAGCAATGGAAAGGTACCAAAGGCGATCGGAAAGGTTAATTAGCTCCTCAAGGAGCCATTGAGGCTTCTGCTTCTCTGGACAGGACAGGTGCCCTCTGGTGACACTGATTTCACTTTCAGTCAGAAAGGATTTGTAGGGGAAGAGAAGTAAATCTTTGTTCTTGTCCTAGGTGCCCCCTCTTTACCTATCCAAAGGCATGCTGGAGCGAAGAGGAGATCCCACGTGTCAGGCTCCTGCCGCATTAATGAACAGCGGAACCATTAGTGTTCTCCTTGGACTTAGCGTGCTGGGTGTGAGCGTGCTGTTAGCATGCGCTATGGACCCTGTTGCCAGGGAGCAGTGGGGGCCGTTGCCCCCTGAGCGACAGGGAGCCAGGAGCTGAGCACAATAACGTGGCTGGCAGGGCAGGGGCCTCGCCAGCTGGGGCCAGCCCCACAGCACCTAAGCAGAGCAGACCGAGAGATCAGGGCTAGGTTCAGCCAAGAGTTGAGCTCACCAGGCGAGTTCATGGTGGCGAGGCAGGTCCAAGGTCAGGCTGGGAAGCCCGTCTGCAATTTGGGTCTAGATGAAGAGGGCCCATGGCCAGGCAGGGGCAAGGCTGTGGCTGAGCTGGAGGCCAGCACTCCTACGGCACAGCCCGGGTGGGGCCTGAAGGCTGGCCAGGGCCATTAAGGCCTGCTAGCGCGCTCAGGGCCCAGACAGCAGTGACGCTCATAGAGCGTTTGGAAGTGCTGCCTCTCCTTGTGCTCAGCAGTGGATATAAGGGGAAAAGAACACGAGTGTGTATTGCACGTCCCCTGGTACAGCTGTCGGGCTCAGCTCCCAGAAGGAGGTCCCGCTATTGGGCGTATATCTCAGCACCCAGTGTCAGGCATCAGCTCGGGTGCTCCTGGCAGCAATCTCGCACCAGGATCACCCTTGTTTTGTAAGGACGGAACTGCAGATGCATTCTACCTCTTTCATCCACAGTCTGTCTTGCTATCTTGACATACAGCTTGAGTGTGTACTCAACAGATCCAGCAGGATCCTCCTGTTTCTGCTTTTTTCTGTTCTTTCTTTCTCTTCCTTTCAACCTCAGAAAACTTTCATTTCAGACTAGGTTCAGCCAATATCCAGGATCTGCTCCTGAGTAACAGTGGACGTGGGTGCAGTGCTTTGAGGCACAGGCAGTGAGTATAAGTACGTGGATAAGAACTCAGAGAATGCTTACCAGCAGCTGGAGTTTTCTGAGGTCTGTAATCCTCCCTGTGTGTTCTTCCTCCTCCTCGCCGCCGCCTTCAGCTTTTATTGTTTGGATCCTGTAGGAAGGGTGCTGTACATCTACATTCAGCACGGAGCACGGGTGCTGGCAGACCTAATAGTAGGGCATGCATCTGCAGGGTGAGCATATATGTACAGGCTACACTTTGTGTAGTAGTTCTGCAGGCCCGCAGTGCTCTCTTCTGTGACTGGTCCCTGCTACTGCAAGTAGCTGGGAATGTTTGGAGTTGCTGGCAGGACTTGAGCCCTTCTCTCACTAAACCGGGAGGGCCCCAATCTCTGCCTACTTGAGTGATAGCTAAATCCCTTAGCTTTGATTCTTTAGGGTTAGATTTTTGACAGCTTTTTGCAGCTTAAAAGACGGTCTGAGCAGAGGCCTCTGTTTCTAGAGCTAGACATGCCCCAGCATTGCCTTTCTGTGGCAGCAGATGTGGGGCAGGTGCAGCATCTGGTGTTTTTTTGTTTGTTTGTTTTTTTCCATGCGTTATCTTCTAGATACCATGATGGACCTGGCCGGGACAGATCCAGCTGAGCTGGACGGCCAGCAGGAAATGGAAGACTATGAGGAGGAGAACTCTTACGACTACAGAGGGGTGAGGAACCCTCCGGATGAGAACGCACTGACAGAGCAGGCTATGAAGGAGATGGCTTATTACAACATGTTGTAGCTGAGCGACAGGGCAGCAGGCCCAGAGCACACTGGAAGAAGGCTGCCAGTGACCTGCTTGGACTTTATTTGGTAAGAGGAGCTCCTGTCACACTGCTGACAGGCTGTCACTCCCTGCAGCATCTGGAACAGACCTGCACCACTGCCCCATGAGAGGGGGGAGGCTCAAGCTAAGTGGGTGAAGGAGGAAACAGGGATGTCCTAAACCTTTGCTGGGGCAAAGGAAGGAGCAGAGGCTGGAGGTGGCACAAGGCAGCGGTAGCTACCTGCTGTGAGCGCTCAGAGCTGGTGTACTGAGCCATTAAGGGCTCAGTTCTAGGATGTTTTGAGGCCGCTGCAGAGATTTGGTTGAGCTTTTACTGTCACTTGGATCATTCCCTCTCAGGGCCCCTTCTTCCCCACTCACCCCGAGAGGGAGCGTCAGAGCTGCGCACTTGGTGCTTGCAGCTCACCTGCCCAGCATTGAACTCCCTTCACTCTTCTGTACTCCTGCCTGCCCCTGGCTGAGCTCCTTTTAGTGACAAGCCACGACTTGACTCTGGTGTTCACCCTTGCTTGTACACTAGAGTTCTCCAGAAAGCATACTTGAAGCTGCAGGCAGGGGAAGGCACATCCCAGAAGATGATGAGCATTACTAATTACTCTACCTCCTGAGTCCTCCCTAATCAGCTGTGCTGTGGTTGCAGATCAGCCTGTAACCATCAGGCCTTTACTCCTGCCTTTTGAACACCCAGCAGGGCAGAAGCCCCTCTACCTGCAAGAAGTCAAGCAGAAAGGAAGCTGTTTTGCATTTCCTGCTCTTTCACTGTCTCTTCAGCAGGTGAGAACAGTTGTGATTGTTTCAGCATCAGGTGCAAGCTGATGCAGACAAAACTGTGGCGACCCAAGAGAGGCCACAGGGCACATACAAAACAGAATATTTTCTTACAAACTAATTGCAAAGCTCGGTGGAAGCAGCAGCTCTGAACAGAGCAGCTTTAGAGAGCAACGTATTTAATGGAAGGCAAACCCTGTTCACCTTGAGCAAATGATGGTATTTTGAAAGTAATTTATTTTTTTCAGATGTGCTGCGTGGTTGGACTTATCTTTTCACTGAGTTCAGTTTCCTTCAACCAACGTTCTTTGTAAACCTGTGTAATGTGTGTGATCTGTGAAGCTGCAAGCAGAGCAGGCTGCATTGGAACTCAGGGCTCCTGAGGGAGGGCTGAGGACCAAAGAGAGATGTCCTGCTAGCTGCAGGAAAGCAGCCGTGTTGGTCTACTGAGTAAGGAGGCAGGGCCTGTGGCTAATGAACCAAAGCTGCTGTATATGCTATAGGCACTATCTCTTGACCCCTTTGAGCTTCTCCAGTCTCAACCATCCCACCAAGGAACAGAGGCGTTCAGAGTTCAGGAAAAGGGTTTTGTTCTGGAAACACAGCCCTTGGGCTGCTGGCTTGCCTAACTGACTCTCAGATGCTGTGGAGGGAGGGAAGAGAAACATGCCAGAAGTGATGGGAGGCAAAGGTGGCAACTGCGGTGCCTGTGTTCCCATCCCCTCTGCTGCAAAGAGGGAGCAGGGGGCAGCACACGCACGCCTGCCCAGCACAGAGCACCGCTCTCACAAGCGTGCCCCACGCTGTTCGTAACCCCAGCAGGCACTAGAGAGTTCAGGGAGGCTGCAGCAGGCCCAAGACCTGGAGGCAAACCATGATTCCAGAGACAGAGCGGAGGGGAGCTTCCTGGGGAAGAAGTAGCAGTATTTGCACAGAGTCCAAGAGAACCTTAGCTAACCCTCTGCCTACACGCACACTGCTGGGAGGCTCCCCTGATGAGGGGGTAGCAACACCTCTCAGGGCAGAGCAAGCATGCTGCTCTCAGCGCAGGCTGTTGGGCCAGCACAGCCATGTGCCTGCCCTGGCAGCTCTTTGCTGGGGTGGGTTGCATGCTGCCTGCCTTGCTCAAGGCCCATCAGGATTTGTGGGTGCTGCCAAATAGTGTTGTAGGTCCCCGTTCCCTGGCTGAGGGGGTGTCTCTTTGTGGTTGCTGTGAAAGTGAAGCTAAGCACCTGCCTTGCCCCCTCAGTTAGTGGGCTAGCATAGCCAGAGGGGGATGCCTATCCCCTGTCACCAAACAGGTCATGCTGGTGAAGAACACCAGCTCTGAGAGCAGGTGATGCAACTCGGCACTTTCCCTGGCAGGGCTCATGGCCAGCTCCAGGCTCTGTGCCCAGAGCCCCCCAGCAAGGTGCAGTGCAGCATTCATTGCTAGGGCCCCCAGCTTTGCTCTTGCCTTCTTCCTGCCGGTGGAGTAACTTTCTCCAGACTTAGGGCAGGATGGAGAAGGCACTGAGCTTCCCCAAGCAGCAGAGAGCTCAGCCAGTTTGGCAGTACAGCCCCCTACCCCAATCGACTTCTGTGCTTTGAGATAGCACAGCATATCCCCCACAAACTACCTCTGTCCCTGGTTACCAAAAAAAACAAAACAAAACAAAACACGCTTGCACAACAGGCAGTGGCTGTGAGGAGCATCCCCTCCCGAGCCAGGCTGGGGCCCAGGAGCAGATAGGTTAGGGAAGCCGAGCAGAAAGAGCCTTCACCGCTGCCAAGGTAGCAGCGTCCGCTGCGTACCCCAGGCTGGCGGGGCAGAGCTCCGGGAGGCACGCGGCACAGCCCTGGGGCTAGTCAGCACCAGGGTTCGCTCTAGCAGCTCGTGGAGACGAGGCAGAGGGTGCTGCTGGAGGATGTGGTCAGTGCCTCTCCCCCGGAGGGGCTGTGGCTCGCAGCAGTAGTTGTACAGAGGATGCCTGCAAGCTGTGCAGCTCCTGTGACTCCATTACGTTACTGCGTTGTGTATGCAGAGTGGTTCAGCCGTCTCTTGTGCAAAGCCCTACTGTGTTTTTTTGATCTCCTTGGTTTGAAGAGTTGTTTAGCAATAATTCTAAATAAATGAATATTCTGCAGCTGGGAGCGGCGCGGCCGCGGGAGGGCAGCAGTGCCACGCGCCCAGGCCTGCACCTGTCCACCACGCACACCGTGGGCCTGTGAAGTGTTTAATTGCTATGTTTGGCACCATGAGGTCAGAGGTTACATAAATTACAGCATGGTGAAGGGCAGCCCTCCCCAGCCCCTTTCCTACAAACCCCTGCTAGAAATACTTTAAAAACACTCGTAGGAAAACTGCTTATAAAAATTATTCCAAATGTTCCTGAGCCAAGTCAGTGAGCTAAAGGCGGCGTCCGCTCCCTATCTTGTTAAAAATGAGGTAAATGCCTGGCACCACGCACACACAGACACCCCCCTCCCTGCTGAGAAAGGGCCTCCTCTACTTCTTGCCCAGGGCTTTGTCTAAGTTGTTCTTGATGGCATCCAGGAAGTCTGTGGTGTTCACGAAGTGTTCGTTCAACTTCACGCTGGAAGAGAAGGTGGAGAGAAGGGCTGGAGGGGTCCTCTGCCCGCCTGTCCCAGCCTGCAGCAAGGCTGGCAGGGTCCCTGCCCTCTCCCCACCCTGGCTGCAAGCAACTTCTGCCCCATGCAAAGAGAGCACCATGAAGGAGACGTGCTAAGGAAACAAAGTCTGTTGCAGACACAACAGCTCTGTGGTGCGGGCTGTGGCTTCCGTGCCTAACCAAAGTCAAGGCCTGACCCAGAACTTGCTGTAAATATATGCTTAGACTCTACAGAGGCTGTCCCGTAGCTGTCACAGAGAGGCAAACTTGCCTTCGTGGCACATGGCGCCTGCATTGGAAGGATTCCCACGCACCCGCTCCACCCCACAAGCCACACTCACTTGGCCAGGCCGTGAATACAGCCTGCGAGATCCTTTGTCATTGTCCCGCTCTCCACAGTTTCGACACAGACCTTCTCCAGCGTCTGAGCAAACCTGGGGGAACAGCAGGGTCACAAGCAGTTGCAGCGAAGCCTGGACCACGCAGAGCAATGTGGCCGAAGGCTACCCCTGTCCTGTAGCCTCCCTGCCTGCAATCACAGCTCACTGCTGCCCTCGAGACTGGGACCAGCTCAGCACGTTTGCACAGGAGACAGCTCCCAGCAGCTTCCCCCCTTTCCCTGCCCAGTTCTGGTTTCCCTCAGAGGGCCTGCCTGCCAGTCCCAGCCCTCTTGCAAAACAGTGACTGGGGCTCTTCCACCACCTCTCCCAGCAGCACCCCGGCCCACAGTGCTTACTTCATCAGGTCAGGGTTACTGTCCAGCTTGCCCCTGTGCTCCAGGCCACGTGTCCAGGCAAAGATGCTGGCAATCGGGTTAGTGCTGGTGGGCCGTCCCTGCATGGAGAGAGTGCCATGACTCCAGCAGCAGGCATCGTGCAACCCAGCTCCTGGGAACACGCACGGGGCCGGACAGGCCAACGGCTCCCAGGAAAGCGCTGGGGGAGCAGGGAGAGCACGCTCACCTTCTGGTGCTCCCGGTAGTGGCGGGTGACCGTGCCATGGGCTGCCTCTGCCTCGATGGTCTTCCCATCCGGACACACCAGGACAGAGGTCATCAGGCCCAGGGAGCCAAAGCCTGCAGCAGGATGCAGGGGTCGGGGCAGTGCAGATAGCATCCAGCCAGGCAGCCCCTGACCACCCTGGGGAGGGAGCCCACCCAGCCCCACCCCCCCCCCCCCCCCCCACACCCACTGCCCCTGCTCCTTCCCACAGGACACAGACAGCCCCCAGCTTGCTCTACCTTGGGCCAGGATATCCGACTGGACATCTCCATCATAGTTTTTGCAAGCCCAGACAAAGCCACCTGCAGATTTCAGCACCTGGGCAACCATGTCATCAATGAGCCGGTGCTCATACCAGATCTTCAGCTTGTCAAACTCCGTCTTGTAGTGCCTGGGAGCCAAGAGCTGGGGTTAGCAGGGCCCTACCCAGGAGCTCCCCAAGATGGGAGGGGAAGAGAGCCAGCACCTCCATCACAAGCACAGCAGGCAGCCCAGCTGCCACAGAACACCATAGGGGTGCCCACACTATGCCAGGTCCCAAAGGATCTTTGTCACCCTTGATATAGCAGCCCCCCCACTCCCCAGAAGGAGCGTGCAGCCAGTATCCAGTCTACAGCGCTACCCAAACCCCAGCACAAGTAGAGGTGGGATCTTTTGAGCTGCCTGCGTTTATCAAAGTCCATACTTATCGAAGATCTCCTGGAAGATGTCTTTGAAGCGCCCATCGTAGGCCTTCAGGATGGTGTTCTTGGTGCTCATGTACAGAGGCCATTTCTTCTGGATGGCGTACTGGAAGCAGCTATGCGCAAAGCCTGAGATAGACTGCAAAGGAACCACCACACACACACACACACACACAGAGTCAGCAGGGGCCCAAACTCCCCTTCTCGTCATGGGCAACTCTCCATCCTGCCAGCCTGGCCAGGACCACCACGGGTAGGGCTGTGCTGCTCCGCAAGGCAGTCCCAAAGGGACCCCCACACACACTTTCCCCTCACTCCAAAACCAGAGCAAGCGATTACCTCGTCCGTGTTATACATGCCCATCCCGACGCCACCTCCAGGGAAATTGTACACTTCCCACTCCTTCACTGCACTGCCATCCTTGGGCGTGAAAACCATCTTGAACGTCCCAGACTTGTTCACCACGAAGTCTGTGGCTTTGTACTGCAAGGGGCAGCCCAAACTGTCAGTTCAGGGTCTGGCAGGACCCTCTACCAGCCTTCCCCAACCCTGTCCCCACATTCAGCCACGCCACCCTGCTTCCCTGCCGCTGTGCAGCTCACCTGATCACCATGGGCATGTCTGCCGATGGTGATGGGCTTGGTCCAGCCGGGTACCAGGCGAGGAATGTTCTTGCAGATGATGGGCTCCCGGAAGACTGTCCCACCCAGGATGTTTCGGATTGTCCCATTGGGGCTCTTCCACATCTTTTTCAGCTTGAACTCTAGGGTGTGCAGAGATAAGACCCCAGCCTATCCTTCAGGAGGGACACCCCCCCCCACCAAGCACAGCCTTGCCCCAACCAGTCCCAGCAGCACTAACCTCAACCCATTCTTTAGCTCCTCCTCAGCTCTCTCCAGTTGGCCCTTCCTGCCATGAGCAGGAGAGAGAACCATTCCTCAGCCAGCAAAGGAGAGGGGCCAGCCCAGCACTTAGCTCATGACCAGCACTGCGCAGGAAGCCCCTTCTCCCCCAGCCCCACCCCACGCGCGTTACTGCAGCACCTCAAGGGCCAGGCACAGCACCGTGCTCGGGGCACCTGCACCCAGCCCAGGCAGAACGCGGCATCAAGGTGGTGGAGCTGTTCCACTCCACCACCAAGCTGAGCCTCTTCCGCTGGGAATGCCGCTGCCTTAGCCCAGAGGTGCCAGGCAAACGCTGTGGGGGG